ACAAATGAAGAATTTATGAAGGGCTGAGGAAGATTCTGGAATGGCTGAGGAAAGAAATCATTAAGTTGAATCTCAAGAAATTTGAATTATTCCATCAGTTTCCTGGTACACATAATAAACAGAGGAGGAGTGTATATAGCTCCAGTGAAGACACAGATGCGAGTAATTTTGCAGTACAAGTACAAAATGGAAAGGAACATGTGATTGCTTCGTATAACAAGGTAATAAATGTTGCAGAAAAGAGGTATTCTACAACTCGAAAGGAGTTACTAAGTGTTCGAGTTCTGGGTCACTTCTATCACTATTTATAAGAACAAAAGTTTATGCTTCAGACTGATCATCCAGTTTGAAGTAGCTGGTGAATTTTTGCAATCCAGAAGGCCAAATACAACATGACTCCAAAAATCCCAGTACAGCTTTAATATTGTACATTACCCTGGGAAAAACCATGAATATTCTGACACATTATCCTGGAAACCAAGTGTTAATGAAGAGTATAAACTCTGAGACTCGTCCATTATCTTTCTTACTCATGTGTCAACTGATCAATCAGACATTAGTCACTGTGTTATTGTGTGAGAATCTCGAGAGTTTATTTTTTATATCCCTGTTGGGGCCTGAGAGAGCTGATATAAAAATTACATAGATTTTGGCACGTTTCTACTAAACTTCCACTAGGTTTTTCGCCCAGTGTTTCTATAATTTTTATTTCTATATGGGAACTCTTAAAGTTTTCTTGTAATTTTTGAAGTTAACTTTCATTTTCCCTTGTGCAGGTGCTAGTAGGCTTTCACCTATAATTTATTTAAGTATTTCTTTAAGATCAGCAGTAAATGAATAGTGTATAACTTGCCACACAAGATAGTGGACCACAGGTTTTTACTTATGATACGGTTCACTATTATCAGTTAGAAAGATTGAGTTCAAAGTTAATTTATTGTGTTAAATTTTAAGTTGGGAACACTCTTTGTTTGTGGTTCTTTTTTATATGCTTGATTAAGTTACGGGGAAGGGGACATACACTAACAAGAGCTTATTATTTGATAAATGTTCTGTTTTATCTTTTTGTTCTTCACACATTCATAAATACACGATAGATTGACATATATTGTATAATAGAGATTTGTTGTTTCTGTAAACTGTCAAGATTACAATTAAACGTTGTTTTCTTGTGTAAGTCTACATGTTCTGTTTCATTCTATGTGGCCCAGCTGTTATACACGTCGGGAACTCACCCTCATACACATCTCGACTTCTCTGCCTTGCCGGAAATTCTCGAAATACCACACAATCAAAATTTTAATATATACATTGCAAACTGGGCGATCTAGCAGGTAAACAAAGTTCAGAGCCCTAATGTTTTGTGCAGTTTTAATATCCCATGGAGTTTGTATTGGCATATGTGAAATACTGTGTTGCTGAAGAGAATTTACTGTGATTTTAATAAGAAAATCCACATAATTTTTAAGGTATATACTGTGCTAAGTGATCTGTTGGAAAAACGAGGTAAGGGAGCCCATTTTGAACAGCCATCTAGACCTGGCATACTTAAGTGGTTAGGGTACTCGATTCGCAATCTGCGGGTTCGTATCCCTGTCCCACCAAACATTATTGCCCTTTAAGCCATGGAGCATTATAATGTGATAGTCAGTCCCATTCTTCGTTGGTAAAAGAGTAGTTTGTCCCCAAGTAGTATAATGGAATGTCTGAGAACTTACAATGCTAGAAACCAGGTTTCGATACAAGTGGTGGACAGAGCACAGATAGCCCATTGTGTAGTTTTTTGCTTAACTTGAAACAAACCAAAACCAAAGAGTAACCCAAGAGTTCTTGGCGGATTGTGTTGACTAGCTGCCTTCCTTCTAGTTTTTCACTGCTAAATTTGGGTTGGTTAGTGTAGATAGCCCTCACGTAGCTATGCGCGAAATTCAGACCAAACCAAACAGCCATCTTGATTCAAATGTTACTCTGTATTTGATAATTGAAACCACTAAAACTTTAAAGTATACAGTATATTCAGGTTTTTAATATATTCGTTTTGTTTTTCTTTTTTTAAATATCCTACCGGGTCTTCTAAATTGGCAAAACATCAGTTTAATGAATTA